TTTTTCTTTCCTGTTTAGAGTCAAGTGATTTGTTTTGCATGCTCAATACAACCTCTGGTGTTTAAGAGAAGTATTTATAGTTGCTGTCTCATGCTGCAGAGGTTTTCAACAGGTTTAAATTATATAAAAGTATTTTGGACGGTTTCAAAGTTTAAACATAGTGCCAAGTGTCATTCATCTACAGAACTCAAAAAATTCTTCTGACTTTTTATTTGTCTGGATTCTATCAGAAGAGCTGTGAGAAAGAAAATGAAAAGCGTGCTGCTTGTCGTTCAACCATAGCTGACCAGAATGATATAAAGCAGCCAGCGCAAAGGAAAGTCAGGCGTTCATTGTTTTCCTAAGACTAGGTTTTTCTCATAAAGAAAATGAAGCGGCAATGCCAGGACTGCCTCTGGTTGTCATGGTGATGATCTTGACAATCTTTTCAAATCTAAAACGGAAGAGCATAGGATGTACAGTAATACCTTGGTTTGCGAGCATAATTCATTCCGGAAACAAACTACTCGTATTGCAAGACATCTCTCATTTACCACATTAAATGTATTAGAAATGTTTTCTTGTCTTGCAGAACACTCGCAAACCAAGTTACTCACAATCCAAGGTTTTACTGTATTTCATTAGACACATGATCCAAGGACTCCACACTCTTGGTGGCAGTAAATTCATGTTTAGAAACTTGAGTTCAAGTGGGATAAGTCTTGTTTCTATGTGCGCCCCTCTCCCCAAATCTCCATGGGTTCACCTACTAGAAAGAAGCCCATCCTTTCGGGATTTTATGGAGGCTTCATTACACAGGCGTGATTGATTAAATCATTGGCCATTGGTGGTTGATCCAACCTCCAGCCCCTCTCTCCTCCCTGGAGGTGGTGGTGGGGCTGAAAGTTCCAACCATCTAATAACATGGTTGCTTCTCCTGGCAACCAGCCTCCATCCTTAGGTGACCTAAGGGGCTTTCCCAGTCACGTCATTAACATAACAAAATACATTTTTATTGTTCTTCTAGGAAATTCCAAGGATTTTAGGAGCTCTGTGCCAGGAATAGGATGAAAACCAAATATATATTTCTCATTATACATCACAATGTCACACGACTAAACTGATATTTAAACGTATCAGGACATATTTGATGAGCTGGGGGAGCAGGTACAGGTGAGTTGAAGTGCATGCAGGGGAAGGCGGTTTTTTTTAGCATAAAGAGGAGGTAGTAGGTTTTCAGGCTGGCACTAGTGGGTGGAGATGTGGAGTGGAGACTGGCAGCTTGGGTGCTCTGGCAGAACAAAACCCTTGGTATGGTCATTCTCAGGATGGATGCAGGAGAATTCATGATGTGATGCTCTTGGGCTGAGTTCATTGATAAGGGGTGCTGGAGAGGAAGACTTTGACAGGTGGAATGTATGTCTTAGTTCGGGCTGTTATAACCAAGTACTGTAGACTGGGTGGCTTATCAACAACAGAAATTGATTTTTTCACAGTTCTGGAGGCTGGAAGTCTGAGATCAGGGTGCCAGCCTGGCTAGGTTCTGGGGAGAACCCTTTTCTGAATTGCAGATGGTCGTCGTCTTGTTGTATCTTCACGTGGCAGAAGGAGGGTGAGAGAGCACTCTAGGGTCTATCCTAAGGGCACTAATCCCATCTCCCAAAGGGCCCACTTTCTCATACCATCACACCAGGGATTAGGATTCAACATAGGAATTCAAACATTCCAACACCGCAATGTATTTCACAGATGGGTTCAAGAGCACATGCAAGATGCCTCTGGGATATAACTTTGCTTGAGAAAATTCCTGTACATTTGACCACCTTGTAAGAATGATAACACATGGAATGTTTTTATTTCTTTTCTTCTGCTTGCTTCAGGCTTAAATTTCTCTTATTTCTTTAGTTTCCTAAGGTGGAAGCTTAGGTTATCAATTTTAAATCTTTCTTCATTTATAATATAGCACTCAGCACTATAAATCATCCCCTTTCACTGTATCCAAATTTTGGTAAGTTGTAGTTTTATTTCATTCAGTTCAAAATATTTTAAAAATTTATCTTGAGAATTAATCTTTGATCCATGGTTATTTAGAAGTATTCATTTCCAAATATTTGGGATTTTCCAGCTATCTTTCTGTTATTGATTTCAAGCTCAATTCTACTGCAAACTGAGAACATGATCTGTATAATTTCTATTAACATGTTTTTTTTTAAGATGTGTTTTATGGCCCAGAATGTGGACAATCTTAGTGAATGTTCCATGTGAGCTTGAGAAGAGTGTGTACTTTGCTTTGATGGGGGTGCTCTATAAATGTCAATTAGATCAAATTGATTGATGGAGCTGTTCAGGTCATCTATATCCTTACTGATTTTCTGACTACTTGATCTATCAATCACTGAAAGATGAATGTTGAAGTCTCCATCCGTAATAGTGCATTTGTTTATTTCTCCTTTCAGTTCTATCAGTTTTGCCTCGTGTATTTTGATACTCCTTTGTTAGGTGCACACATGTTGAGTATTGTATGTCTTCTTGGAGGATTAACTTCTATCATTATGTAGTGTCACTCTTTTTGTCCCTGATAATTTCCATTGTTCTAAAGTTTCCTTTATCTGAAATGAATATAGTTCCTTGAGCTTCCTTTTGATTAGTATTGTTAGCATGGTATAGCTTTCTCCATTTCTTTACCTCTGAGTCTTTATGTTTAAAGTGGACTTCTTTACAAGTATAGTTAGGTCTTTCTTTTTTTTTTTACCTACTCTGACAATCTCTGTCTTTTAATTAGTGTATTTAGACTATTCACATTTAAAGTGATTATTGTTGTAGTTGGATTAATATATATTATGTTTGAAACTATTTTCTATTCATTACATATTTTTGTTTCTTTTCCCCCATTTTATATAGTTTTCTCTGAAGCATTTTATATGATTCTGTTTTATCTCCTCTCTTAACACATCAATTGTACTTATTTTAAAAAATGTTGGTGGTTGCACTAGGGTTTGCAATATACATTTTTAACTAATAGAAATATACTTTCAAATAAAACTAGACCACTTCGTGTGTAGTTCAGGCTCCTCCCTGTCATCCTTGATGATATTGCTGGCATGTATTTCACATAACTATATGCTATGATCACCCAATACATTGTTTTTCTGATATCTTTTAGAAAGTTATCTTTTTGATCAATTAATAAGAAAACTAAAAGATTTTATTGTACACATATTATTTTGAAAACCTCAGTATTTTTCTTGAAAATTATTTATTTCAAGAGAAATAGCTAAACTTATTTCAAAGAAAAACTGCTATTGTTAGTGAAATAAACATTATCTTGGGATTGAGATCAGAATGAAGAAAGAACAGAGATAATTGACAAAAGATACTAGTTGTACAGCAGTCTTCCTCCACACTCTCACATTTTTGCTTTGTGTTTTTGTAAAAGTCCTGTCATTCCTTTCACCAAATTTAAAAAAAGATCCAGGGCCACTTCTTACAGAAGATGGAATTTTACTCCCCATATATTTTTCTCCTCTTTAAGTTTCTTAATAACTCTAGAAGTAGGTTTATCAGATTTCACAAATAAAAATACGAGGTGTCCAGTTGTTTGAATTTTAGATAAATAAAATAATTTTTTATATAACTATATGTTGCATTTACCGGAAACTCAAATTTAACTGTGTGTCCTATATTTTACCTGGTACCTTTATCTAGAAGACACTCATGTTACCCTACCCAATAGGATTCTTTCTTGATTGACCTGATTTTGTTTGGGGACCTACCAATCCCTGTGTAGATTAACTTCAGAAGTAAACCCTCATTGGTTTAAGTGAACCATAGTAGTTCCATTCTCCTTGACAGTGATTGGTTTACACATGGGTATATGACTCAATTCTTGACAATGGGATATGAGAACAAATCTGCTGGCATAGGGATTCTAGGAAAGGCTTCTTTTGCTAATTGAAAGAAACACAGGAGAAGAATTGGCCACTCCTATCCCTCTGAATATTTTCCTGTCTGAATGTGACACCTGGTGCTGTGGCAGCCATCTTGGGACCATGAGGGCAGCCAGACTGTGGGACAAAGCTGACATTCTGAGGTTGGCAGAGCAGAGAATTGGGAAGAACCTGGATCTCTAATGATGTCATTGATCCACTGAATTAATTAAGCCGAAAGATACGTGAGCTTGGAACTTCTTATTTGGTGAGATAGTAACATTTCATTATTGTTTAAACCATTTTGAGTTGAGTTTTCTATTACATGTAACCCAAAGCATCCTAAATGATGAATTATTTATTAGACCAGAAAACTAAAGCTCAAATCAGTAAGATAGGTTACCCAATGTCACTGAACAAGGAATTACTGAGGTTGAATTTGCTCTGAGGGCTGACTTCAATGATCTCTCTGTTATATAAATTCAATCATTTCCTTATAATTCTATCATTTTTTTGAACTTTTGCTTCCTTATCTGTAAAGCAGGGATGTACCTCTTCCCTCACCATTATGTACTAAAGATTTTAAGAAACAGTGTGAATAGAAAAGTCAGCATGAAGATGCCTAGTAAATTTCCTCCTTCCTTGCCCTTCTATTATTAGGAATTTTCATTTACCCCTTGCTGAGAAAGGAAATGAATAGTCCTCTCATTTTAAAAAGGCTGGCATAGTGTAAGGAGATAAGTAGAGTTCCTTGTTTCATGGAATTACTTAGACCCCTGATTGTTTCAGTGTTTATCTGACTGAATGAAGTTCATCAATTCAATCAGTTCTTCGGACTATCGGGATCACTCACAATTACATCTACATGTTGGAGCATTTCCTTCCATCTCATTACAGTTCTTCAGTCCAGCCATCCCCCATCTCTAGTTTTGACTCCAATCACAGTGGGGAACAACCCCACTAGTAGCCTAGGTGTGATGGTTCTCAGAGCCATGCTTTCTGAAAAACCGAGGAAGGGACATTGGTTTTGAGAATACTGGCTAAATGACCTTGGACAAGTAGTTTAATCATTCTGACCTTCACTTTTCTTCTCAGGAAAATGGGGACAATAAAACTTACCTCACAGATTGACGCAGATTAAACAAGGTCAAGTGAAAGCATCTGATGCATAGAAGGTGAACAAAACATCATCACCTGCCAAATACAGCTCAACATCCTGTTACTGTCATCTCTGCAGTTGCTGAGTCACCTGCCACAATGTACCCTTTTATGAAAAATAAAATATATAGATTCATGAAGAAGTGTGCCAGCCTTTCAGCCATGCATCGTTTTCTCTTCAGAGAATGAGCAGCAATCAAATTTCCAGGGTAGTGTGTCCTGCAGGGGGCATGAATTGGTCACAGCTCAGTCAGAAGTCCTCCGGGTTGCAGCACCTCCCCGCTGTCTCTGAATATAAACAGGAAAACCTGTGGGACTCTCAGAAGGCTCATGTTTGGGGTTCGAGTAACTTGAAACCTGGGCAGATAATTACATTCCCTCCAATATAGCCCTCTAAATTAACTTGTGCCAATTGAGATCACACAATCCATTTCAGACGTTAAGAAAAATGATGAAATAAATTATTCATAGAATCAAAATAAAATGTGTTTCTAAAGAGAGGTTACAGAGAAGACGGACTAAAAGAAACCTGGCTAGTTACTCAGGCTATAGCCTCTTTCACCCTTAAATCATTGACCTACCTGGGCTGTATTTATAGAACAACCCCTTTCAACCCTTTCCTCTCTCTGACCTCTTCGTGAAATTGGAAGACTCAGCTACAGTGTGTGTGTGTGTGTGTGTGTGTGTGTGTGTGTGTGTGCGCGCGCGCACGCGCGCATGCATGCACGTACACTTACAGACATCTGAAATGAACATTTCCAACACTCCAGGAAGCTTTCCTGCTCCTTCCTAGCTGATGTCCCCCTCCAGAGGTAACTCCTATTCTGACCTTGATCACCTAACTCGTGTGTATCTTTGAATTTCACATACGTGGAATCATATAGTTTGTGCTCTGTTGTATCTGGCTTATTTTTGCTCATCAATATGTATGTTAGGCTAATCCATATTGCTGCTTGTAGTCATGGTTTTTTCTTTTTAATAGAATTTATTTTTTTAGAGCAGTTTTCGGCTCACAGCAAAACTGAGTAGATGGTACGGAGAGTTCCCTTATACCCCCATCCCCAGACATGCACAGCCTCCCCCACTATCAACATTGCACCACACCGGTACATTTGTTATACTTGATGAATCTACATTGACACATCATTAATCATGGGAAAGTCCAAAGTTGACATTAGGGTTCACTCCTGGTGTTGAACATTCTATGGGTTTGCACAAATGCATAATAATATGTATCCATCATTATGGTATCATCCAGAATATTTTCACTGCCTTAAAAATCCTCTGTGCTCCTCCTATTGGGCCTGTTCTCCCCGCCAACACCTAGGAACCACTGCTCTTTTGGCTGCCACCATAGTCTTGCCTTTCCTGAATGTCATATAGTTGGAACCATACAGTGTGTCGCCTTTTTAAGTTGGCTTCTTTCCATTAGTAATATGCATTTAAGCTCCCTACATGTCTCTTTTTAGTGCTGAATAAAACTCCATTGTCTGGATTCACCACATTTTATGTATCCATTCACCCGCTGAAGGACATCTTGGTGGCTTCCAAGTTTTGGCAGTTATGAACAAAGCTTCTATAAACATCTATATGCAGGCTCTTACGTGATGTAAGTGTTCAGCTTCTGTGAGTCAATACCAAGGA